GCCACCAATTAGGATTAGCCATCCTATAAATTTGATGTTTGTCCAGTTGAAGGATTCGTTTGCCACATCAGTAGCAGCTTTGTAACAAATTTTGGACGCAGGTTTTCGATTTCCGGTGGATTCAGTGTAGCAAGGAGCCATTTACGACTGTGTAGCATTTAGCAAACGTCAGTATATGTGCTTCCAGACAGGGCCTGACCGCGTTCGGCTAATGATAAAATCTTGTTTATGTTAGTGCAACGCGCCTCCCGATGTGGCCTAATCAAGCAATCTAGGGCAAACTGTTAGAAAAGCTAGGAAGGTTTTTTCTGACAGAAATGGTCTTAATTGGACTGTTCATATTTTCTTTCAAGGCGCGTGGCACATTAGTGCACCCTAAATACCACGGGGTTTTATGATCTCTCAATCCGCCTATGTTGTCTTGGTTGGTTTTAGTCACTGAGCCCCTTTTGGAGAGTTTTGAAATGGTTTTGTCTTTTTGAGGCTTATTTGCTTTTTGTGAGTGGCGTTATCTCAACACAACACACCCTCCAGTTGAATGAACCTATCGAAATAACGTCACTTAAGCGAGAGAGTTCGAATTTGTTAGGCTATTATTCGGAGGAATTGCTTTATGAACACTCGTAAACAAGCTTAAAATAGAGCCACAGAAGAAAAAAAATAAAACAGTTTAATTGACTGTACACAAAAAAGGAAGGGAATAAAAGTGAGAAAAATTATGCTAGATAGAGGGTGAACATAGAAGAGGCTAAAAGTTACCTGGACTTGCGTCGAAACTGCTTTTATAGCGAAAGGGATCTAAGGTAGGTATCGATAACCAGGTGCTCACAACAGTCTTTGAACTGAAACATATGCCCCACTTTAGACCATATGATTATTCAGGTCGTTCTTTCATCCCATGATGGTCGACAGAACTCCACTTGGGAATTAGTCTCATAGACATGCTTAATATACTTTAAATAAGTCAAGCGCTCTGTCAGGGTATTCCTCTATACATCTTGTTTAGGGAACGTACTTTTCAGTGAAGTTTACTTACAATATTTCGCCCGAGGCTTCCATATAGAAGCGCATAAAATTAGGTAGGCTTATTCAACGCGGTATGAAGGGAAGACTGGTGGTGGTTGGCTTGTTCTCTGAGCTGGGCAATTTGATTGCAAACGGTTCATCACCAATCGAGGTGACATCATCAGTGCGTTATTGTGGAGCGTAGTAGTGCGTAGCGGTGGGTTGGGAGGACTTCTTTTATAACCAATCCATGCCTAGCGACAGCTCGGATTTGTTTTGTTTCGAACCGCTGCTACTTCTGACAGTCAAATGCCTACGAGGAAATCAGTTTCCGTTTACAATTTATGCGAAGTAAAACTCTCGCATTTGCTATTTAGAGAAGACGCTTGATTCCACTGGACCACTACTTAACTACAACGCATTGCCCCGGTATGAACGGTGTTAACTTTCTTCCCGTGAGCTCTTTTGTTTCCGGCCTGCTTACTGAGAAAAGGGCATCTAAGTATTGCCAGTCTTGACAAATTCGAAATCATTTGTGTTGACTGAACAACCATTCACATCGTCAGACATAGCCTGACATAATCCTCTTTTAGTGGATCAGGCTATATCCTACGTGCCAGTAAGCTGACCTCAGAAGTGATGTTATTGCTAAAAATAGCACCAGAAAACTATCGAAGGACATATGTTTTATAGTGAATAAATAATAATGAAGTACACGTGTTTATAAGATTTTAAGAAGTGACTGCCAATGAGTCACTCGGAAACGGAGTGACAGTTATAGAGATACGAATAAAATGAGTTTTATGGGCTGCGTGCACCTTGGCTGTTGACACAAAGTACGGTATTTAAAGAAGTTTTAACTAGTTTTTTTTTAAACGCAGTCACCCAGGGGACAGAAACAACAGGTGGAGGAAGGAAATGAGAAACAGCAGCAGTAAAAAATTCCACATACAATAGCATCTGTAAGATCCGACCTTCAGGCGCAGTCTGGTTACGTCAGGGTTTGATCAATCCTACCAGTTAGCGAGTAAGGTGGATAACAAGGAAGAACAAGATCTAGCCAAGTTGAGTTCCTGGTACTAATCCGCATGGACCCCCAAATAACCCCGTAGTTGGTGCAGATGTCTTCTTACATACCTGGAAACGGACAGACCATCTCACATAGTCGACAAATTCCAACAGCAAGAACAACAATCCTGTGTTCTCTATGCATTATGGAGTGTGGTTCTGCACCCCTGTCATATCCATTCACCTAGACTTTCAGCTTGACAGATTTGGCGCAAAGTTCGAAAGTGATTTCTACAAGTGAGGAATAATAAGCATCACTTCAAGCCGTTAATTTCAACCTAATAAGCCTGCAAAAAACTTAGGGCAAATGACTATTAAATCATTCCAGCCGGTGGAATACCTGATACATCGCTTCACATATTTGTTGTTCTACATTTTCAGTATTAACTTACCCCTCCCCGACTATCTATTTGTTTCACGAGATTACTTGTGCTTCAAATGCCGAGAAATGCATTTGCGGTTTAAGACTCTTTTTGTTTCTGTTCACATTGGTGCTGGTACTAGCGAGTTTTCATCAAAAATCTCCAAAGATACTTTGTTCCCAGCATATGTGGGACTGATGAAAACTCTGTTTACGACTGCCCGAAAAACCATTCTTCATGAAACTTCTATATATTACGGCTTGCTAAGTTGAATTATTTTGAAGCTCAATGCTATATACTTTTTTTCGAATCAGCTGACCAAGTGCTGATCGACGTGACATTGTGCAGAAGAAAGGGTCCCCGGGAAACAAGCGCGTTTGTAGAGTATATGTCATAAAAACAACTTTTCAGCCTTCTACTTCAATTTTCACTTTTCCGCTGGTTGTAGCACTGGCCTGCCGAGATTTTTACTTTTTTTAGAAATGGCTTAAAAAGTTTTAGGAAAAGTGAAGAGACAAATTTACAAGTTGTTTTATGTTCCGGTTTTATTAGGATCGGCAGCCGGTAGATTGGTAGGCACTAACAATCACGTCCAACTCTTACCACGTATAAAATTTAAACAGACCTTGTTGATATTTTGGAGATTCTACAGTCCTTATCAGCAACTGACTTTGTCCTCCCACTTCAGTCACCGAATATATTTGATTTCTGGCTTGTGACTTCGGGTCACGTGACCTAACGAAACATGGAATCCAAAGCGGACCGGTTTAAAATATTTAGTCAAAGCTGATTTCCACGTTGATAAATTTCATTGCCTGTAGAATAAGCGGGTTGCTTAAACCACAGTTGCACAGAACGGAAGAGATAAGTATTTCACGACAATGGTAACTTTTCTAGATGCCTTTTCTAGAGGTACGTCAAACAGGGTCATCAATTTCACAAACCGATTGTTGATCTCAGCGCTCGATCTCAAATGCAGAAACGAAAATATCTGCCGCGAATTATTCTCGTGTTGCTATCCTCAGTCTCAAATTGTATGGAATGCATGCCTGAAGAATTTATTAGCAACAGAGGGGAAGAGCACACTGATGCTATAGCTTCACAGAGACCAGAATTATTGCCTCAAAAGCACTCTTCCACACTGTGTCGGCTGGTGAACTATAGCAGATAGACTAGGAGGAAAAATTTCTCATTTCCAGCATAACTACTCATGCCTCAAAATAAGACGGAAATAATTTTGTAGGTTTTTATTCCGGCACTGGTTCTTTGATCAGCCGCTCCCTGAGACCCATTAATTTCTTGCTTCTCGCAATATTTAGTGCTCACATATTAGGAGTATTCGTTAACCTGAGAAATCTTGAGACGGTTCTCGTTTTATTGTTGATTTTATTAAGTACTATGTTAAGTGCCCACATGCGCAGCCTTTATCATCCGCTCGAATTCATCCATTAGCTTTACTAATCCCTCGCACCCACGCATTTGCTCATTCAAAGAACGATTTTCCCGCACCTTATCCCCAAACCATCTACTTGATCGATGACCTTGATTGAAGTGACCTGACTAACATTTTAAACCAAATAAAGAGTGGAATTTATCAAAGTATCGACAGTAGTAACTTGTTTGAGCAGATGGCTGCTTAGAAGGTGAATGTTTATCCCTTCAACAAGCTGAGAAGCTAGCTTAAAAGCGTCTCCTCCGTTTCGAAAGGAAAACATCAGTCATAAACTACTTGTGTGAAATGTAAACCTTGGATAAGCCATGAGTTATGCTCTTAGAAGCGTATTAATAGGCTACGGAATCCGAAACACGTCACGTTTTGACGACGATGCACAAGAGTATCACGACATTACCTGGAAGAGCCATTAAAATATCCCTTCGCTATATGGACAGAATACTGCTGGAGAGTTCTTCCGCTCCAAAAATACACGGAAGGCTCCAGTATTAAACTATAATTGCTAAGATGTATGTTGTGGTCTTGGGATTTACACATTTACCACAGTATTCCATGAACTAAGAACTGAGAAATCCTTTTATGAATACAGCAACTTTTTACCGTAATTTAAGCCAACTACACCGTTATAATTGTGAGTTTAGGACCGACGCATGGGGTGCGTGTAAGTTGGAGATAATAATCAAAGTAAGTGGAACTTTTACGTGAAATGGGCCACATAAGATGAACTATAAAACCCCAGAGGAGCCCCTTGGGCCATATTCTACTTTAGAAGAAGCTCAATAAAATATTTCCTTCCGATTCGGTTTTGCAATCAGTAATGATGCAAAATAACATGCTAATCTCGATCCTTAGCAGACGTTAGCAGCTGAATTAATATGTCAGGTAAACAGGTTTTATACTTCACCTTGAATAATGTGGGTAGCGTGCTGACAGTAATTCGTTTTTAAGTTGTAACGGACTCATGCGCAAGGCAGAAACCATGACATGCATGATGACAGGTGACGCCAAATTCCTAAAATTAAACAGATCTGCGCATTCGAATTCACTGTCTATTTGGTTACGTTCCTGTGCTGGGGCAAAAGTTGCGGAAGTTTGACTCAATGAGCACTTACCTGAAACAAGCAGAAGGGCTTGACACGCCCGAGTCAATGTGGGATAGTTGAGAAGTCCAACGTAACAGCCAACAAACAGCAAAAAGAAGCTGATGAACCACAGAAGGACACACGCTAGGCTAAGAAGCATGAGTGCTGCTTGCCAAATGCTGTGAGGAATCTGCTCAAACTGATAAAATCCACATCCTGCTCGGATGCGGATCAATCTAGCCTGTTCTGTCGTTTGTACGTAGTGGCCTGGTCTAGAATCTGCATCCTGGTTTGCAGATAGCGCTTCGTTCATTTTGTCTGTGTATACAGGATAGACACATCGCCGGTATAAACCCAGTGTGCTAGGTAATCTTGTCATATGTAATCCCATCGCCACTGCCAACTGTTCATTGATACCAGTATAGATTGTTCCTTTGAGCCAGTAGGGAAGTACACAGCCTGCGGTACATAGCGCAGTGGATATCCAAGCGATTGCTGACCAGAGAAACCACAGCTTGCGCATTCTTCTCTAACAGCCAAGCAAGTTTTAGAATTCACCAGTGTGAAATATCTCGTTGTTTTTCTTTCGTATTGTAGACACGATCCCGCGTCAGTTACTGCGGATTATACATGGCATCTATTAGAATCGTCTAATTATGTCCAAAATACTGACGCTGAACGGATCTGCCCAGCCGTCTGGACTAAAAACCGCCTGGCTAAAGTGTCGATCGATTCAGTAACGTGCTAGTAACTGCCTGTTTGTTTGCTTGCCCAAGCACACAACGAAACGTGTATGTTTGTGTCTGGGGGCGTTGAAGCACGACAGTTCACCAACTGCCACCATTGGGTACAGGAAAAAGGAACTGTTCGCCCACATCACTCGATGCTTTCGCGGTGAAACATAATAGTTTGCCTGTGGTGAGTTATCAGTTAAACACATCGCGTCATCAGAGAAGAATTGTCTCTATGGAAGACTAAACCTGAACATGATTAGCGTAGCTATTTGAGTGAACACAAGCCCACTAATAAATTTACTCGGTTCCAAAATCGATTAGTTCAACTGGGTAAGAATGTTAATCGCAGAAACACCAAGAAGATCAGTGTTTTGCGGTATATATGACGATGGAAATGCTAGTCAGCGGTGACATCATTGCAATAAGAAGTGATTGTGATTATGTCCAGGTAAGAGACCCTAACACGGTGTGTCAGTCTTGTATCTTGAAATTTTATCGACATTTCGAAGTAGCCGTGGCTTGTTACAAGCTGGTCTCTGAGATTAGCGATAATCATACTGTCCATCATTTCAGATAAATTGCTCCGTAATTAGTTAACTAAATTTTTACTGGCGCAAAGTACATTACAGTTTTAGCCGAGCCTAGATACAGCACAAGCATCCGAATTCCACATTACGACAGGCATATTTTCCCGGAGCAGATATCTCTCCTTGCAGTACGGGTATCAAACATTATCTGAACGCAGGCCAAATCTGTGCCAGTCGCTCGGCTCTCCTTTAGGTTAACCCCTACAAAAATGGAAATCCGCCAGATAAATGGCAGTTCAATTGACGTCAGGATATGCTTCACATGCCTTGCATTATGAAGATATTTCCTGTAACCACATTTGCAACGCTACATTACTAATGCGGCTGCACCTTAGTTTGTGTCGATCACGATAGAGAGGATAATCTCCTATCCATAATACAATTATCAATGGAATGCAATAGAAATCACTGTTTTTACAACAATCATGACCTGCAATACACTGAAATTTCAATAATCCATTCCGTTCCCACAGTACAATTTAGTTTTTCCACCAACCGGTGCAGTTCGGATTTGTGATGAACATAAGTGCACCCTGAAAGTTCGTGGGCACAGATTCCAAATGTGGTGGTATAAAAACACCAACTATTCAAAGAATTTTGCCAGAAGGGTACGGAACATTTAGTAACTCTTCCAAATCAGGAAACAAGGGCACTCATTGGTTTCTCAAATAGAAAAAATTTGGTAATATTATAACCCGAACGAACTTACTTTATCCTGGATAACTAGAAATGCGTCCTCCTGGAACAGTCTTGATCTGGCTGTCACCATCTCAGCTATTAAATCCGGAAACAATTTTTTTCCTATTTCACAACTGGCCGTGCTTTGCAAAAATTAGTACCTGTTTCTTGTCATTAGCTTGAATGACCAGATGTTGGCATAAGTTGGGATGCGTCACGTTTCGCATTGTTAGACGGACTGATTGAGAAGTAAATATAACCGAAAGGGAGAACTGCATTAATAACTCATCAGTCACAAAAATAGTTTAGTAACTCCACTACCTTGAGAGGGAGTAACAGAGTGGATTTGTAGGAACCTCACCCACATAATTTTTATTTGCGTAAGACTGCTTCTTCTATTGTCTCCGAGGTTTGTGTAAGAGAACTATGCCACCTTATGTGAAGGGATGCGATCAACGGGAAATGTATCGTCAAATTAATGAAATACACTCATTTGCAAAAAAATTTGGTTTTGTGAGAGACTCAACTGGAACCCAGCTGAATCTCTCGTTTGTGATGTTTCCAGTATGTGTACTGTGTCGTCAAGTTATTTTATGGTGGTATATTAACTCGGACTATATAGAGACCATTTTATTGTCACACATAGTAACGTAGCGAACGAAAAAGGCAATTGTGCTACTTCTAATAACAAAGCTATATTGAAATCATACTTCGTTCTGTGTTCATTTAAGGCCGTGCAAATCAGATTAATTCTTTTGCTAGCTTTCTGGCTTTAAAATTTTATTTGAAAAAACTTTAGCCTCACTGAAACTTTCTAATTGGCCCCCACACGTTTTTCACGCAAGAATATTTCACACTCTTCTTTGCATGGCGGGAACCTTTTCAAGATTTAGTCGTCAGTCGCCAGTACATTCAGAAACATATGCCTTTCAGAATTTGTGAATCTGGTCATACGTTCCAAGAAGTGTGGGCATGTGTTGGATGGATTAGCCGAAGGCAAGTTGAGAACCAGGTTTTCTGCAACTGCCAGTTTGGCTCATTGGTGTCTCTTGACCTGTGACGTAAAGATCAAATTGGCATGGGCATGATGAACAAGGTTTGTGAAATATGAGTCCATTCAGTGCGCACTTGAGTCATGTGAAATCCGACCATTTGTCATGCTGAGCCTTTCAATCCTCTTTACTCGCGGTAGCACCGTAGTTAAGCTGGAGTTCTACAACCGGATCAAATTATTGGTCTGGTCTGCGGATGTTTCCTAGCTCTTTGATAATACGCAACAGCACATATCCAGATGTTTTAATTCTCCGGTCAACGTAGCTGGCATACAAATATGTAAGCTCACACAGAAATTGTTTGGTGGGCAAGTTGAGATGAACATCGTACAAATGTGATTCGAAGGGAGCCGGCAGTTATTTTTTCGGTTAGTTTGACTACTTATGAGTAGCATAATGTATGCTTGTTTACCATAATGTCACTATGCCTCCCTGTCTCCTGATTCCCGGTTCGCTTATCCTCTAAATAATAATTTTGAGATTCTGCCATCTGTCCGAATCTGCTTACGGTGTCATGTCAGTTTTACCTTTTTTCGAGTACCTGCTTCGACGAAAAGTTGGGTGACCCAGGGATAGGACTAGGAATCCCTGATTGCCTCATTTTATTATTAGATTGCGTTAACTAATGTGCTCGTTGGGATATTGTTTTAAGCTGGCCCAAGCATCTTTGTCGTTTTGACACGCAGCAACTGCTACTTTGTCATACCATCAGCTTAAGGCTGCAGATATATTTGATTTGCGCCAACTTCACCTTTTACCGATTTACCTGACAGTTTCCGTTAGCATTTGATTCTGCAGTAATTCGCGAACGTACTAGTTGTCTGTGCCTCTATGCTATTTACAGTCTGACTCTTCGCACTCGTACGTTTTTATAACATTTTTTGCTTACTTGTTGTTGCTTCCATAAAGCCATGTTGCCTCACTGTCTCTTTTTCGACTCCTACCGATCACGATATTTTTGGTTGTAAGTTCCACTTAATCTATGACGGTTATTAACCCATTTGTATATAGAACCAGTTGTTAATATGGCTTTGGCTGCGCTCATCCGTCTGTTCCTACTGCCGATTGCCTACGGATATTCCAATAGCTCCAATCGTCCTCTAAGATCCTAAGCTGTCCAGATCTTACAACTATTGGAGGTGAGCTGACTTGTTATCAGTCCCGCAGCTAATATGGTTGCACACCGAACTGGCGAAGTTTATGTACGCCTCCATTGAGGTTCCAGAATAAATATAGTCAAATGAAGACTGAGGATAAACGGATCAACAGGCATACAAATCAAAAAGTCTTGTGTAGTTGTTTATGTTGTATATGGACAGTATGCTGCGGACGAGAATCTCAAGTTCTTATCGTGATATGGTTTACGTGGGCACGAGTTCGTTATTTTGATTTAGAGGTTCTTAACACTTACTAACTTGGTTAAAACACTCTGACTGCCAGTGCATGACCAGCTTTTCCTGATCCTATGAACGGCCCGCTGGGTAAGAATTTTAAAAAGATGAAGCAAATACACCACCGACGCACACTGGTCGGCAGATGGGGGCCCTACAATGAGCAAGTCAAATTTATCAGCTAAACGGTCGTGTTATCGATTCCACCGGGCCCACCTGATAAGTCCTTATATTGAGAAGAGTCACTGAATACCTGAGAACTTTTAAACCATACCATATAGCTAGTAAAGCTTACTGCCAACTCATATAAGATATTTGCATGTGGTAACTTGCACTTTTTCGTAGTCTGGATTTGTGTACTCCTTCCTGTGGAAAATGAAACCGTTTAGACTGAGAACCGTCCTTCTTGAATTCAAACCGGCGTAATATGTTACAGAATCAAGTAAAAACACAACTGACAGTTTTAGGTCACCCCACACACTGTCGGATAGCGGTTGGCGCAAATGTGCGTTTTGTTGTAAACTCACATAATTAAAGCATTTTAGTTCCATTCGCTGGTCCCAATCAGATAAAGCATTTTAAAGATATTCGATCGCGTTGCAGTTTTCCACAGTCCCATACGATACGTTCCAACGTAGGTATTCGCTGACCCTCTTGAGAGCATGTTGTGCGGTTTGCATCTGCGCAGTAGTCTGCAGAAACTCCCAAATAACTGGAAATAACAAGCGGATAAATCAGAGGAATGAAACACGTAATTAGTTACGGGTCGGTAAATCAGTTTAGAGTAGGGATATCATGTTTTGTGCAAGTTTTCTTTCATCAAAATGACTCCCCAGGTTGAAGGGCTGGAAGTTCAACTGGAGAAGTGACCCTTGATTTCTGCACACTCTTATTTGATGCTAAGTGTAAGTGAGTGGACATGAAATTATTGCCTTTAAGCTATACGGTCATATAGTTGCTAGAGAGCTGTTAACACCGCCTGTATTTTTCCTGAACCAAACATTAGGCACGAAAACTGGTCATGCTTCAGGAGTGAACTTCCGAATAATTTATACAACCACCGCATATAAGCAAGAATAGTTTTATTAAAGTTTTGGTCGGTCAGGAGTC